TTAGGAAAACAGATTTTTTTCAGCACCATATATGTGAGAATTATTTTTCCACTGTAGTCTTTCAAGACAAATTGAGGTATTTTCTGTTATTTTGCTTAGAACTTCTCTTGTGCTGCAAGAATGAAGTTTGTGGTAAACTGTGAAAATATTTTGCAATTTTCTTAACGGAAAAAGAATGCAAGGTCTGAGCGGCTCTTGCCCTCTTGACTCCACACATCTTCTGAAATGTGGCGCTTGTGTCAGTGTGGCTTTTACAGCGTGTGTTTATCGAAGAGGTACTCTCCCATAGCACCCTGGGTCTCAGACGCAGTGATGCGGGTCAGACTGCCAATGTAGTCGCCCAGCTTCTTGATGGTGTCATGGCTGTCGATGAGGAAGTGCTGCTCGAGGAAGTCACACAGCTACAAAAGAAAGACAGAAAGAAGTGATTAAAGGGAAAACAATGCTAGAAAAAGGTCGTCACAAAATGGGCCCTCAAATCTTCCACACAGTGATTTTGCATACAACATATTTTTAATGTGGAACAGTGTAGCTGGTTTTTCCCCCCCCATATTCACTATCTCACAGCTGAACAATAGCCCATGCACAAATGCAGTTACTTATGTTTTATTAGTATACAACAAGTACAAACATCTTATATCTTGTATACAGCTTGAGTCTACAATCACAGATATGTCAGGTTGACTAATGGTCATAAAAAATAAAAATGTAAATATCTTGTAAAGCTTATAATAGTTACACGCTTTAACTTTTTTTATTTGTACATTCAGATATAGAAGAAAGGTACTGTTTAAATAGACACTGAGCTCTGAAATGTTTGGCTTTTTGCTTAAAAAAATTTGATTTTTGAACATTATTATCTATTATTTGGTAAAAAAAATAATACACAATGAATCCAAACAATAAATTTTTCCAAAGTAACATAACGTAAGAGTTAAATATTATCAGCAATAAAGCGTGACACAAGTCTATGAGTGCCAGACTTACGTGAGGGTCAGTGTGGCTGCCGGCTCTGCGGTGCACATCGAGGACACATGTGTTTAGGGACTTCTGGTAGTCCAGGGAAAAGGACATTGCATCCAGACCACCTCTCCAATCCTCCCTACTTGGTTTCTACAACA